CTGCGCGGTGCCCGCGGACCTGGAGCACAGGATGTCCCAGGAAAACCTCCTCAGCATGGACGAGGGAGCGCTGAGGAAACTGGTGAGTCCCTGCGGCACCGCAACGCTTATGTGGCCGCCAGCATTCGTCAGCTTTCCCGGGACTCGCCATTGCTGGGAAGTGCCCCCAGCGGGATGGAGGTGGCCAGACACTTGTGCTAGCTCTGTGCCCACCTCTGTTGTCACTCGGGGAGAGCCAGTCCTGGCCTTTGCAGGGCAGGCAGTGCCCCCAGCACCCGCTGCCTGTCCAGCCATGGGCAAGTTGTCTTGCCATGTGGCTTGCCAACGTGGCTTACTTGAGATGTGAGCTAAGCTCTCAGCCCATTCCCATGATTGGGGCACGGATCTCACTGGCCCTGCCTTGTGTGGCTGGGAGAATTTTTTTGTTTATTAACATTTCTGTGTGGCTCTCCAGGGATCTTGTGTGCCTGATCTGGGCCTGGGAACACACGATGCACACCCCCAGCTGCCCTGGCTCTGTGTGCCCAGGCCTGAGTGCAATGCAGAGGGAGAGGAGGAGGGATTCTGAGGGGCAGCCTGCGAGGAGAGATCTGGCAGAGTGGCAAGCCAGTCCAACCTGGAGACTGTCAGTCCTTCTGCCTGGCAGGAGCAGGAGGGAATTAGGGCTGGGCAGTAGCAAGAGGCATTTGTACATCCACAGGTGACAGAGCTCCTGCTACAGCATTAGCGACCTTGTGCCTTTGGAGCCAGGTAAATGAGTAAGGGGGGCTGCTCACAAGTGGCTCTCCTGCTGTAGTGCCTCCAGTGGGGTGTCTTCTGTCCCAGACCTCAGGATCTGAAGGGGTCAGACCCTTCCCACTACTAGTGTCTGTCAGTTGGGTTCTCTGGGCACACATGAACACTGGTACAAGCAGTCTTCCTAGCTCATCATTGGCCTTTGGAGTCTCCAGATCCCCTACTTTTGCCACAGTGGAATTGTTGATGCCTTTCTTCTGTGCTCAGACTGTAGCATCTATCAGTTGGCTCTGTCTCCTAGGCTGGCTGCTCCTGCCTGAGATGTTTCCTGCTGCCTGAGATGTTTCCTGCTGCCTGCTCTATTGCCTGCTCAGTCCTCTCCCATTGCCAGGTGGGGATGTTGCTGCTTCCCATCTGCCTTATGTTCTTCTGGCTCAGGTCTCTGCTTCCTCTTTGCCCAGGGTTGGCTTAGCTTCAGGAGCTGAACCCTCCCCAGTCTCAGCCACTTGCTTCCTGCTACCGATGCTGTGCCCTGTATTCCCAAGCATTAAGTCCTGGGGCCTGCTAGGGAGCTGCTGGAATAACTTTCCACATAGTGTCCAGTGGATTCAGCAGAATTGCTTACCTGCTTGTTTTAAGTTCCCCTGAAGACACAGCTGGATCTGAGTCCTAGACCTGTGACTACCTGGACTGAATGGGCTCGTGGGGAATTAGCACTTGGTGTGGCCTCAGTGGGAGTCTGGGTGTTGGGCTCTAACCTGCTGAGCCAGGGCTGAGTGTCAGGAAGCTATACACTTCTGGCAGCAAAGCTTTCCTGCTGCAGGACAGATGCATCCTCTTTGGAGCCCAAGCTGAGCACTCCAGCAGAGTGTGGTGCTGCTTTGGGCCACCTTCCCAATAGCTAATCTTCCCCAAAAGCTAACCCTCTCCTCTGGCTCCTAGGTACTGCGGGTCTCTGGTTGGAGGGTTTTGCTTGGGTGCCCTGGAGGCTGAGCTGGTTGTAAACAGCAGCAGGCACTGGAATGACACTGGGGAATGGTTAACAGCAGGAAGCTGAGTCAGCTTGGAAAAAACGTCTATTAGGAACAGGAAAGAGTTGGGGTGCCGTGACGTTGGTGGGAACTGGGAGCTGCATGTCAGGGTGAGCGGAGGTCAGCGTGTGGGCTGCACTGCCTTTCTGAGAGCCTCATAACATGCTAATCCTTATCCTATGCTGGGTGACAACTTGCAGACCTGTCCCCTGTACTCACCTCGGGGAGAGAGTAGGAGAGGAAAAGGGGAGCATAAGGGCTTTGGAGAGGGGGATGCTGTCGTCCCAGGTTGATGGATAGCAGGCGATGCAGAGCCCATGGTGATCCCTGAGTCTTGCCCTGTGCTGAGATCATGCTTGCCCTGGCCGGGCAGAATTTTATGATTCTTGCTGACTCGTGTGTGCCCTCCTTACCAGAGCTGACTTGCTGGTGCAGCCAGCTGTGTCCCTGAGGGCAGGGCCTGCTAGGTGGTAATCACAGCTATCTGCATGTTGTTCATATGCTGAGAAAGTGGTGCTTGGATTGAGGAGCCCACCGGTCTCCTTGGGGTGAAACAGGGACCAAAGGAGGATGCTAGAGATGTGAGAATGGGTGATCTGGATTAGAAATATGGCTTGGGGCGATAAGCATTTGTCCAGCTTGCCCATAATGAGTCCTGTGACTGGGCAGAGCCAAGTCCAGTCAGGGCATCCTTTTTTGAGTGTGCTTGGAGACCTAGAGTGGGGAGGATCAGGGAAGGGCTAAGGATGAACACTGCAGTGCTGCGAGAAGCAAAGGTGGAGTTGGTGGCGGCATGGGATGTGCAGGAAGGAGGGGCAGCACCTGGGAGGATAGGGGGAGTGAGCTTTCGGGCACCTGGCTTTTTCTGCAGGGACAAAAACCCTTCCTGTGCTGCCAGGACAGAGTCCCTTCCTTCATGGTCAGGTAGGATAGCAGTGTGGGGAGCAGAGGAGGCCTTCCTGGTGGGTGCAACAGCTGAGGCCTGGATATGGTCACTGCTGTATGGTAAGCAGGGCTCTGCTCCAGCCAGCAAAGTATGTTTGGAAAGTATCTTTTTCCCCATCCTGGCTGTGCCCTGGCTCTGCTGCTTCCTACCTGACGCTGGCTGAGGTCTCTGAGCTGACTTGGAGCCCCAGGCTGGGGTGGTGGGATGGGTGGCCAGGTCTCTGGCTTGCCTAGTGAAGTGGATCTTACCCCAGCAGTAAACAATGCTTTTTCCTGAAGCTTTCTTCTTTTAACCAGCTGTGACTTTGCATCCCTGTGAGTGCCTTGCTTGGGGATGGTGTCTTCCTTCAATAGCAGGCTTGTCATGTGTATGCTTGCTGCTCCCTGGCCACAGAGACATTCAAGATAGAGGTTGCCCAAGGTACCATGTGATTCTTCTGCCGTATAGGCAGAGCAATGGGGTACTGGAGCTGCAAGCTGTGCTGCTGGAGAAGAAAGCAGCTGGAGGGATCTAAGAAGGCTGGTTCTCTCCATCCCACTGCAGGCCATGGAGCCATCCCTCCCTCCCTGGGTGCTGGCACTGTAGCCTGTCTCTTCTGCCTACTGGCTGTGGGGGACTTTGGAGTACGGCATTAACCCCTCTGCCACTGCCATTGATCTTCCTCCTGCCCTGCCTCCACCCAGCTCCTGAGGGGCTGCTCATGGCTGTGATCTCTCCACATCCATGTAGAGCTGGCTGGGGAAAGCCTGCTTTGAAATGCCATGAGGCGGGGAAGGGATTTATTTATGGCTTTTTTTTTTTTTTTTTTTGGTGCTAGCTTTTGGCTCCGCTCAGCTGGAAGAGGATTAGCCCATATAAGGGAAAACTGCCTGCCTCTCCCACCACTTCCTCCCTGCTCCCTCAGCTCCTGTCCTGTTCTTTTCCTCCTTCCCTCGTAGCAAGTGGGATCTTGGCAGCACTGTATGGTGTCCCTGGGGGCTTCTGGAAGAAGAAGAAGAGTTTGGGGATGTAAGGAGGTTCCTGCAGCCCCCGAAGTGCCTTATGTGCTTGCTGGGAGGGCTGCCATTCTGAGGGCTGAACAGGCTGGGCCAGGAGCAGCCCTTTGACTGCCTTGGGTGAGCTGGGCCTCTGCCAGGTGCCTGCCTCCTGTGAATTGTCATGCGTTTCTCTCCCAGATGGAGGCAGGTGGGCCCTGGCACCCAGGCAACTTGCTGACATGGATGTGACCCTGAACAGAGGGTGGCTGGCCAGGCTGTCTGCTTGTCAACCAGGGCAAGCTGATTGGGATGAACTTGCGGTGCAGTCCAAAGGTTATTGTGGGCTTGGAGGAGCTCAGAGCAAGTGCTGGCCAAGGAGGCAGTTGTGGGGTGGCTGCCGTTGCAGGGACAGTTCTTGACTGTGTGTCTGGAAGCAGTGGGAACATGTGAGTGCATGGAGCTGTACTGAGCTCTGGGCCATGGTCTGTTGGCCTCGGACCAGGGAGTGCTCCCTGCTCTCAGCCTCTCTGGATTTCAGGCTAGCTAGTTTGAGAGGCAGGACACAAATCTGCTTGCAAGCAGAAGCAGGTCTAGGGCAGGCCTTGAGCGAGAAAAGTCACAGGCCTGAGATCCCTTCTTCTTATGCCTCTGTCATGTCCCCTGTCACCCAGCTGTCCCTTCTGTTTGCTTGTTCCTGGGAGGCAGCCACGTTCCCCATAGCTCCTTCCAAAGGCAACAGCAAAGCACTGGGCTGTGGGAGATGCTTCATAGGCAGGTAACTCCTTTGAGTACTAAAGGCTGCTTTGAGAATGTATCTGGCTCCTATCCCCAGAGCAGAGTGTCCCTGTGGCCAGGCTCCAGCCTTTTCAGTACCCCTGTCTGTGCTCTGCCTCTTCCAGGAGCTGGGTGGGTTCAGGACTAATTATAGCTGTCCAGGAAGAGCTTCCATGGGCTGGACAGATGTGCCCTGGCTGGGCCAGGGCTGAGGCAAGGCTCTGAAAGTTGCTGGACTCGGGCATCACTGGGAAAGCAGCCCATGGATGGCTTGCCAGCACCCTCTTTACAAAGCCACTTTGTGTGTGTGACTCGGCAGGCATTAGCTTGAAACCATTAATTTGCTACTGGCTGGGCAGGGCTCATGGGGCCCTGGCACGTCTGGAGCTCCTGGCTTTCTAGTGTAGGCTGGGTTGGGCCCTTCAGCCCCTTTTCACCTCCCAGCTCCAGCTGTGGTTTCCGGCACGTTTCCCCTTTACTGCTGGCCACAGAGCCTTCAAAGCCATTTGTTTTCATTGTCCTGGCTCTGTGCTGACGTGGGCTGGGATGAGGCTTTTTCTGTTGCTCTGCCACAGTTTCTCCTGCAGAGGAAAAGCTTGCTAAGTGCCCTGCGACCCGAATGCAGATCAGATCCCATCTGGAGCTCCCCAGGCAGGGCACACTGGCTAGTTGTTTTCCTTCCCTCCCTCCTGTCTAGGAGTGAGTTCACTTTTGACTTCAAACTTTTGAGCAGCAGCTGGGATACTGGAGTCAGGACATCTCTGCCTGTTTTTTTTTTTTTTTTTGTGTGTTTTTCATCAGTACCTAACTGGAGTTTGCTCCATGAGAAACAAGGGCTGTTCCTAGAAGAGTAACACTGGGCCACAGCTAGAGCTATGAGGCTAAAGAAGTGGAGAGTAGGTGTCACACAAGAGCATGAGGGTCATCAGGATATCTTCTGCTCCAGGATACGAGGGGATGGGCACCTAGATCTCCTTAGCACTCCCAGCTCCTCTTGCGTGCTGCGCTGCTGCCTCTGCATCACATGTCCATAAAGCATATGACCCATCACCTGCAGAGACCCCCCCATGCTGGGGATGAAAGGGCTAAACAGCATGCAGTCAGCAGCTTATTTAG